TCGAATCAGTTTTGCTGTAGCACGTCTGGAAGCGTCAATATTGATATGATTACGTTACAAGCACTTTCTTACGAGGGCACATGTAACCTTGTTGCAGGTATTGTATGAATCGCTTCTCCTTCTGTGCGAGGTCAGTGCAAGGTAGATAGTATACGCGAGCAAGACATGCTGAAGTCGTTAGCAAAACTAGTTGAACTTATGTTGTAACGCGCAGGCGATAAGCATCGCTAGACAGCTTTTTCCAATATGCGGTTATATGTAGCCATAATCCACAACTTTTTGGTCAGCACAAAATAGGGCCATGTGACTGTAATTGAAAATTGCAGCTTATTACCGACTCAAATTCTCATTAGACTATTATTCGATCTAAACCAATCAATCGTCTCTATTTTAAAAGTATGACTGGCAGACATCAAAGCACCGTATCAACTCTTTCCTCAAACGTCTTTGTGATGGCACAAACTAAGCGTAAGCGCGGCACAGTAGCTTCTAAAAAGAATAGCCCTAGTACACCTTCCAAATTGACTGATACAGTGGTCCCGAATGGTGAGCTGGCTGCGGCTGAGACGAAGGTGACGAATATTGCTGAGCCTCTCGCTCTCGCAAGAATTAAAGATGAGTACGCTATTATTATTGAATTGCTGCAAGGAAGATTCGGCTTTGTGCGTGCGCTACTTATCGAATTTTGGCCAGAAATGCAACGCGATCCTCGCGACGAGACACAACTATCTGTGGAAGGAGATGCACAGTGGTTCTGGTTCACAGAGATGCATTTTATGGTGATTTTTCTATACGAAGTTGCATTTATGGAGTTTTCTTTAAGCGTGACGAAGCCAGACTCGATCACGGTGGAGCAAGAACAGGAGAAGACGACGTTGACCAATCGTCAAGACATGGAAGAGCGCGTTAGTTTCTTATTGAGGTTAAAAAACTATGTGGATGATCTGGCAAAATGCCGCTTGGCTGCGACTAAACAGGCTGGCAAGAGATTGCCTCGAGTTTTCCGACTTGCTGAACTATACAAGCTTTCAGCAGAAGAGACAACACTTTTGCATTTGCTTGTGGTCATGCAGGGCTGTCAAAGCAATGCTGTGCGGTACCAGATATTGGATGAAGATGTACAACGTCGTGTCTTGACGTATCAAAGATTATCGGGACTGTCGGAAGTCGATATTGCTGAATTTCGTAATGATGAGAGAGAACACGTGAAGGAAGGCACACTTCTTGTAGATGAAGAGACATACTACACGAGTCTAACATTGTCGAACATATGTGTGCGTGTGCTACTTGGACGGCATTTGACGAGTAATCAGGCTTTAAAAGTAAGTCAAACGGCGCTGGAGGAGTTATTAAAAGACGAAGGTATGTCATTTGGCGAGGTGCTGGACTCGTCTTCGATTTCAGGTACTAAAATTGCGGGGGCTGGTCAGAAGCGCGATCGTAATAGGGAAAAAATGGATGAAGACCGAGAAGACGAAGACATGGACAACAGTAATGCAACCAGTGAGAGTGAGACGGAAGATCGTGGCGATAATGAAGATTCGAATGGTTCGGCGTTTTCTTTTATCGGTAAGTACAAAAGTGATAGCAAGCGTGCAAAGCGTCAGGAAAAAGCAGATGAACAGCTACTGCTAAGATCAGCTGAAGCAGGTAGTGGAAATCGTCATTTGCTGTCGTCTTTGATGGATTCGAGTGAATTGAAGGCTTATAGTCCAGAAAACCAGCTAGAGTATCTAGAAGATCGATTTCAGGTTGTTGCTTTTGCAATTAGAGCGTCTGGCGCACGTGTAAAAGACCAGATGAAGGAAGCAGGTACAAAACAGCCTTGGGAATCGTCTGCCCCAGCGTCTGCTGGTCGACGGGAGCTCAAAGCCAAGCAGCGCGTTTACAGCCGTCGGTCACAGCACCGATTGGCTCTGACCCGTCAAGCGGATCTCCCATTACCGCGTCTTGAAGAGCTAGCAGTGAAATTCAAACTCAACCACTTTGAACAAAACGTGATCGTAATGCTTATCGGAAAGACAATTTCACCAGTGATTAAAAATCTCATTGATGGCGTGGATACGTCTCCAGTTCAGCGCATGGATGAGAGTGTAATCATTAATCAGATTTTATCTATATTTTGCGATACTTTTCAGGAACAAGTGGCTCATCGTGTCTTCTTTTATAAGTCTTCGCGATTGCTGTCTCGTGGACTTGTGAAGCTTCATCGCGGGCGATGGCATTCGACAGCGGGTGATCTTGTTGATCAACGCGTAGAGTTGGACCGTCGGGTCTTGGACTGGGTGGTGGGCCTTGACACGGAGATGAATGAGCTTGTGGAAGGCTCGGATTTGTACACTCCGAAAGTCCAGCTGGACCAAGTGGTGCTGCCGGAGGAACACAAGAGCACGATACTAGAGACAGTTGAGAGCTATGAAAGTTTTCGGAGATATCGCAAGAAAAGTGGACTGGAGCAAGCTGGAATGGCGTACGGAGCAGGTTTAGTGTTGTTGTTATGCGGTGCCAGCGGCACTGGTAAGACGATGACAGTCAATGCTGTAGCTCATCATTTAAAAAAACGTGTGCTTCTGGTGGATTTTCCGTCGCTGCAGGGAAAACGGCATGAGGGAATGGAAACGGATGCCGATTTGCGAGGTCTGTTCCGTGAAGCAGATATGAGTAATGCCGTACTGTTTTTTGATGAGTGTGAGAATATCTTTCGGCAGCGAGACAGCGGAGGCGACCGACTGTTGAATGCGTTGCTGACGGAGATTGAACGTTATGAAGGGATTGTATTCCTTGCTACAAACCGTCCGTATGACTTGGATGAAGCCATGCACCGTCGTATTACGGCCGTGTTCGAGTTCAAAGCACCCGATCACATTCAGCGACGAAAAATTTGGGATGTCCTTTTAATGCGTGGCTCGTTGAAAACCGAGGATGGAATTGATTGGGATGCAATTGCCTTAAAGTATGAGCTCAGTGGTGGATTCATCAAGAATGCCATTTTGTCCGCTCTCTTGAAAGCAATCGCAAGGGATGCCGAGTCGCCTGTGATTTCCCAAGCTGATATTGTTGCAGGATGTGCACTGCAGATGCGTGGTAGTCTGCACATGAAGACGTTTGATCACCGTGTTGTACCGACTACGGGACTGGATGAACTTATTGTGGAAGACTCGGTAAAAGATAAATTGCGCCGCATTGTGCAGTTTGAGAAGGCTCGCAGTGTCATTTACGGTCAGTGGGGCTTTGATTTTGGTCAGTCGAACAAGCAGCAAAAGGGAGTGAGCGTGCTTATCTGTGGCCCAGTAGGCATTGGAAAGCTTAATGCTGCCAAGGCCATTGGCTTTGAAATTGGTCGTCCGCTCAAAGTCGTGGGCTTCGGACAACTTGCAGCTGATTCGGCTGCTGAGACCCGGAAAGCCCTTAGAGCGGTTTTTGACGATGCTCGACTGATGGATGCCGTGCTTGTGCTTACAGGTTTTGAGTCTTTCGGCAGTCATATTGAAGGTGGTATTATCCCACTGGATAGTCTCGAGTCCTCTCCTCGCTTTCGCATTGAAGTCATGCGGCTACTGGAGCTCATGAATACGTTTCCAAGTACGACGATCTTGCTGGCAAATGTTGAACGAGCGGCTGCTGCGTCTCTAGTGCAGTCAGAGTTTTGTCGGCGTTTAAAGTTTGTAGTAGAGATGCGAAATCCCAATGCAAAGCTGCGTGAAAAGCTTTGGCGTGCATGTTTTCCACCCAATGCACCACTGGATATGAACAAACCAATTGATTTCCGTCGACTTGCTGAGCGCTATGATTTGAGTAATACAGCTATTAGCGACGCTGTGTTTCGAGCTGCAGCAAGTGCAGCTTTACGCGAGGAAGCAAAGCGCGTGATTACGATGAAGGATTTGACCGATGCCGCAGAGATTGAGCGACAGAAAGCTCGTGGCGGTGCGGGGGCCATGGACAATCTCTTTGTTTAGGCTGTAAGTAAATTTATGTATGAAATTGAAGGCTACAAAGCAGTACATGTATACATGGTAACGCAGTATATCCTTCATTCTTTCACTCTGGCTAATCTTTGATCTCTCTACGTTTCGCCATCTCGCTAACTCAGCACGCCACAGCACTTTAGATGATAAAGGGGATATCGTCGCCACACGTGTAGTCTCGCACCACGTCGTTCTCTGTAATAGTGACAGTACGAATGACGCCACCGGAGCTTCCATCGCGTGCCATAGCGTGCGCCAGTGCTTTTTTAACAAAATGCTGGCATTCTTCCATTGTCATGTCCGGTCTTTAATCATAAAATAGCGTCAAACTCCTACTTCTTGCAAACAAACATTTATTGTACTCACCGGTATTCTGAGTCCACGAGACCGTAGATGTACGTAGAACCACTACCACCTATGGCAAAATCTTGCTCCACCATTGCTCCACCAATTGGAATAGAAAACACCTGACCGCCTTTCACAGGGTCCCAACCAGCCACGATAATGCCTGCGAGTAGGCGGTCCTTGTTGTGGTAGCACAGCGAACGGAAAAGATTCGCAGCTGTGCCTACCTTAGGTAGACGTCCGAGCTCTATACTATGCGAACTCAAGTAGTACCGCACATAGTCGCTAAGTGCCTGTGTATCCGCGGCTGATCCCGAGCGACAGCAAAACAATCTGTCGTGTAGCGGCGTGAGCTTATCACTGACGCGGTTAGCGACATACGTTCCCGTGGACGTGCGTGAGTCAGCGCCTAGTACAACGCCACCCTTGAAGCGTACCGCAATAATGGACGTACCGGCATCCACCTCGCCTGGCTTTAGATACGAAGCTTCGTCTACTTCACACTTGGTCATGGTAAGATCCTTTCTTCTTTACAGGGGAAAAGAATACACTTGTAAATTGTATCAAACGAAAACAGATAACAATAATGTGGTGTACATTGACTTCGTAACTATCAACATGCACTAGTCAAGTTGCTGCGTGTACGGCTTAAATGGAGACGTAATGACAGTAATGGCGGCGGTACGAGCGACAAAGTCGCGCTCGGTAGCTGATAAGAAGCCGCTAGATTTTCCAGCATGAACGTGGTCGCAAGCCACCTGTACCAATTTGTATACATGCTCGTCTGGGAATCCAGGTAAAGCGATTGTCATTTCACGTAATTGATACCATGTCGGAAGCTCAGCAAGGCGAGAATTTAGTTCTTGTTCCGGCGGACACACATCTTGCATACGAAAATCACGCGCACGAGAGGTTATCAGCGCTGATAGAGCCACGTGAAACCACACTCGCCAAGCCTTAGTCCTGTCAGATAGTGACAGCAAGTTCTCCAATCGCTGAATCGACCAGGCTGATGTAACGGCGTGAAGAACAATAAAATCATTGTGTTGTAGCATGACATACAACCACATTATCATATCGAGCGCATGGGTACCGTCAAAGTCGGAAAAATCAAACTCATTGACCTTCTCCCAGAGAAATGCAAAAGCTCTAGGACTATTATGCGTCAAGTGGCCGGACAAAACATTAAGACCACGCTGAATCCAGCCAATATCGAGGTCCTTCACAGGCGAGATGGACATAACACGATCTTGTTCTGACCGTAGGAAAGCGTTGCTAGTGACTGCGTCAACCACTTCATAAACAGTTTGGCGAGTAAATTGTAGCAGTAGATTTTGGCTAAGAGGCATGATAGGCTCGTTAAATGGCAAGTAACTGTAATGCAGATACGCGAGACCTTCCGCGACAAGACGATCACCTCCAATGTGATAGGCATAGCCGAGTTGAATAATGCCGTGCATCAGAGCGCCAGCTAAGCCACTATAGAGGTGAGGCAAATGTTTGCGCACTGCTCCATCAACGCCAAACTTCTTGACGTCCTGTGCGTAATAAGCAAGTAAAGCGTCGTAATTTTGGCGCTTGCCAAGCAACATTTGAATTTGATCATCATCAAGCATGCTTTTTGTTGCAGCATGCTCGTAAACGTCTTCGTGATCTGGATCCTCGACATCAAGCTTTTGCGAATAGTGCGCGGCATAATCAGCGATCTTTTGCTCATTTGCACCGAGATCGTGTAATGCCACGACCGCATGCAACAGGTGATTGGACAAGTAGCTATTATACTCGACTTTATAGCGTAGAGTTGAGTACTTGCGACTCAATGCTTGACGAACTTGCTCAGTCGGCAGCTTGTCTTGATCAGTTTCCGGGACCATGTTTGCAGAATTTGATGTTGATATTGTTGATTGTTAAAGACACACGAAGAAATGGTATTTTAAGAATTTTGTCTATGTATCAGTTTATTCAAACGGATGCGTAATAAAGAGCAAAACGGTGCGCGCAGCGAACAGTATGAGCTAGAGACGCTGCACCGACTTGATGAAGAATGTGTTCATCAACAAGGAGCTGTAGGTCAATGGCACGTCGAACTTACTTTGCCTTCGAAACTCAATTCTGTGATGTAGGGAAACTATCTCAAAGCATTTGACTGTATGGAACGAGCTTTAGTTATGAGACGTCATTTTTTTGGAGTTGAAAGCGAGGAGGTTGTGCAGGCTTGTCGAGCACTTTCTGATATGTGCAATCTATTGGCCATGAGCTTTCTGCAGCAAGACAACTATGCAGTAACCTTTGAACTTTTAAAGAAGGCAGAAGTGCTAACTCAATGCCATCACCCAGTCGAACGAGCCACCACGCTCAATAACTTTGCATGTTACTATCGCCGATTGGGTAAACTCCATGCAGCTATGAGCAGTTTGAAACAGGCGCTGGCTTTGGAAACAAAGTTAAAAAATATTCGCAGTGCTGCAGATACGCAACTTAATATCTGTGCCGTTCTTTCGCAGTTAGGGAAACATCAAGAAGCCTTGAATCATGCACAAGAGGCTATTATCACGTTGCAAAAAGTTCTGGCTGCTGACAAAGATATGATCGGAGGAGTTACTGATGCATCAACTGGAGATATACCAAGCACAAGACTTGACCGTATCTCGGTAATGTGCATTGCGTACCACAACATTGGCGTTGAGCATGAATTCCTTAAGGAATATGCCCATTCTGTTGCAAGCTACGAGAAGGTGGCGCTGATTTTGCTAGAGTTTAGACAAATTGTCTTCTTATGAGAGTGTTTTATGATTTGAGTGCAGGGAGTTGGCTTTGCTGAGCGATATCTTGGCCCCGACCATTCAATTACAACAACTATTCGAGATTCTTGGTTAGCTGTGAAGCGATTGCTGGCTTCAAAGGTGAGTGTGCGGCCAAGATCTGTACAAAAGGGTATAAAAAATGCCGCCAATGCAAGACTCTCATCAAGGCCGCGAATTCGACCGCGTCGAATACCAAATTCGGTGACGAAGAGAGAAATGCATTCGGATGGTTCGAATGGCTTGCAGATTTACACACCGCCTACTTTTAGTTCGGAAGTTATACCAAGGGCCCCTTTATGTGTGTTACCGCCGCTGGAAGATCAATATCTTTTCAGCAGGGGCTTTTCTGCGCCCGGCGACGTTGAGTCGTTTGCTTTGAATTCGTCCCCGACAGATATATTTCCCAATCCTCAAATTAGTTTTGGTGGAACTTTATCCGAGGATGAGACAAGATCACGTATAAACAATACCAGTCAAAATGTAATGATATCAACTAACATCGAGGCAGAAACTTTGACATATAAGCGTAAAGATAGCAAAGACGTCGTCAGAAAATCTCTATCAACAGTTTGCATAAGTCAGAGAAATCGCAATGATGAATATTTGAAGCCCATAGCACATACAACGACCTTGGCGAGTCAGGCTGATGATTTAAGCGGCTTGACATTTGACAGTATCTTTGGTGGGTTCTTTAGCGAAGAAATTACGACAAAAAAGAACGATGAATTGAATGATGCGTCAGGGAGGAGGAGCTATGTATCTCCTCTTCTGACAGAGATGAATAGTTGTACTATTTCCGACGTGGGTGTTGCAAGTCTTTCTCAAGACATAAGGGTCATGAATAAAGAGCTCGGACTTAGTTCCAAGTTCATTTGTTCATTGGAAGAACCAATAGAAGATGCCAATTTAGTAGCGCAGATGATGCACAGTCTCGACCAAATTGTTGATCCCGTGCTGGAAAGTGAAATGCTGAAGGTGACAATGAATGGTACGGATGGCGAAGAAGCCCTTGATGTTTATGCAGCTGACGCAAGTGTTGAAAAAAGAGACCAGCTTTTGGAGGAGGAAGAAACTGATCGAGAAGATCTTTTACATGCTGGCGATGTGGCTGGAGTTTTAAATGATGAGGATAGCAGAAATGACACTAGCGACGCGATTCTTCAGCAGCTCGAGGTAGACCAAGTAATCAGCACAACATATGCAGAAAGTTCTGGCGACTTGAGGTCAAGAGCTTCTGGACCAAGAGATCCTGGCCCGGTCGACGTACTGGAAAATGATTTGACGATCGGCAATTTGGACAAGGCAGTTTTCGATTCCAACCATTTACAAGCTTTCAAAGGTGTAAATGACGCTAACAACTTTCAAAGTTCAAATGTTTATGCATTCAATGACGAAGTGACACCAAATCCCACAAGTGTGATTTCTTACGACTCCATTGAGCTTCCACTAATTTACAATTACCCCATTTACAATAGCAGTTTGGAGACTGGGTGTGCTGTTAACCACTCCAACAGCGAGTCATTAGAAACGAATAGTGAAGATGCAATAAAAGATGAAACGCTACACGACACTGACACCCCAACTGCTAGTTTGAATGTCGTGCCATCAGCTGAGATGGAAGATAATGATAATGCGGAAAGCAACGACAATGATATAAAATCTAATCTGGATGAAGGTCCAGAATCTTAGAAAATTAAATTAGATCAACTTTTATTCAAGGCATTGACTTGGCCACATTGGTAAATTATTTGTCAAAGTCGCCATACATCATTGCTGAAGAGCTTGTGAAAAATGCCTTGATCACATGCGAAACAACTCGTGCCGCAACATAGTAAGGGTACTTAAAAGCAAGTGCCGCAACGCCACATTTCTTACGCCGTCAATGTCTTCTTCAGTGAGAAATGCAATGCTGCTAAGTGTATGGTACCCACGTTGCTCGAGATCCACCCCAAATGCTGTCAGGTCTGGATGACATGCAGTCATCCACTGAACAACTTCGCTTTGTTCACAAACTAATGCAGATATGAATACAATACAATATTTCAGCCAAAACTCAGCTACCTTTCTAGTTTCTACGCACCCATACTGTAAATGCCGGCGCTTTCCTTTGCACTCGATAAGCGCATCCTCACCCGCGGACTTGTAGCCATTTCCATGGCATTTTCGTTCGCATCATTTAGTTGTGCATTAACTTTCATTTGATATCGAATTTGTGAGTCGCTTTCGGCAATTTTTTTACGGATAGGCTTTACAGGCACAAGTGATCGTGGTACTTCCGTCAACAACTTCGGCATATCTTTCATAATTTGAGTCGCGGACATCTCCACAATCGTAAGGAACCAATGCTGTTCTAACCCAAGAAATTGATAATGATATAAATAGCGAGCAAGCAAAATACCAAGATTCTATTCCAATATTAAATCAAATCTAGCGGGGAATCACTCCAAGCCACAATTGACCATACCGCGTTGTTAACGGTATTTCCCGTCACTTTCGCCCACTTGTCAGGTTACTCCCGCATCCTTAACGACATCATTTGACTAACAACAAGGCGGATAAGTCCTCGTCGTCGCGCCTTCTCGTACAGTACGTTACAGCTATCGGCTGTCATGGCAAGCAATGTCGATTTGTTGTTTTCTCTGCAACCTGTTTAAATGTCGTCAAAGTCGAAACCAATGTCATCCTCACCGTCGCCCTCCATTGCCATGTCAACCGCTGTTTCATTAATGCGTGCGTTGTCGGGAAGTTCACCGTAGGCCTTGAGACTGCGAGCCTCGTCGGCATTGTATTTATGAATAACGTCCACCTTTCCGTCCTGGTACTCGCGTAGACTCACAAGAATGATGTCTCCCGCGCCAACCCACACTTTCTTACGCATTTTGCCTCGAATGTGGCCTAAACGCGTTACACCGTCGAAACAGTAGGCCTCTAAACGTCCATTACCTAGCATCCGTACCACTTGTGCATATTCTGCGCATGATTTCAAAGCGTATACATTGTATACATTAGACAAACTCCTTCATGAGTATGTATACATGACTTAAACACGTTAATGGGGTCGCAAATGAAGCAAAATAACGCACCCTGGCCATCCTCCTTAAATTCAAGATCGCGCTTGTTTTCCTCATTATCATTTTTACCGCGGCGGCGATTCTTTCCTCCCTTTCCCTTGTTCTTCGGCATCTTCGTTTCTTCGCTGTCGAGTCCTGCAGTGATGTAACAGCAATCTTCGAATGGTTCGCACACTAAGGAATTTAAACCAATCCACGGCTAAAAAGCATCTTGAGTCTTTTTATGCTCAGGGCTTTTTTTATTAAAAATTTGCTTTACAATATTGTCCATTCTTTTCTGATTTTTATGGCTGGTTTTGCTGTTTTTATAACGCATATCAATTGACAACCACTATTGGTATGTGCGCACTCGTCGCGCTATATCTTCAAGCCGTATAACGTGTTCGTAGTCGCAAGAGTTCTTCGATGACATCCCCAACATGTTTAAATGCTCCATGGAGGCGCCGCGAGGTTCTGTCAAGCAAAAATCCGCGCCCACAAAATCATTCCCTGCGCCGCTCCATGGACGCCACCTCTAGCTACGATACGTTCTGCGTCAATTCCAAGAATATGTCAGACCTGCATTCCTCATGCCGAATGGTGGGACTTCCCACACAAGTGGCTCGTAAGCGGCTACTTCAAGCCATTGAGCATAAGATTCACGAGAAGGAGAGCTCATCAAATGGTACAACCGAGTTCCGCGACCCATTCTCGATATTGCTAGCGCTTTGCGCCATTTTCCGATTTTCTGACGCGGTAAGAAATTTTGCGGGACTGAAGTGGGATCGATATAGAGCGGGAGTAGGTGAAGGGCTCTTTTTAGTGGCCGCTGCAGCTGGAAACGTGCTACTTAACATGACGCAGAAGCGTCGACATCATGCAGAAATGGCCGAAAGAGTACGTGTAGCAGTACAAGAGATGCTACCCAAGAGCAAAGATAAAGGAGATCCGGATGAAGTGCCCATTTGGCTAAACAGCCAAATTCAGCCGACAGTGCTGCTACCTTCAAATAGCTACGCCGCATGTTACCGCGATAATCAGTGGGTTCGATTGCCTATGAATTTGCTGGTCGAAGGTGATGTGGTGGGATTAATGAGTGGAGATATCGCACCGGGAGATGTGCAATCTGTGGAAACAAATCAAAACGAACAATGCCACGTGTATGCAAGAGGATGCAAATTGCCGTCTTGGAATAGCAGACATGGAAAAGATACGACGAGATGCACGGCAACATTTGATCCACCCTTGCTGTTGAAATTGTGTGGTGAAATGCGAATTTTTGAAATGCTGGAGACACCTGTGCTCAGAGATATTGAAGACGCTCTCTTCCGAATCAGACGACCCCTGACACCCACACAAAAGCTACAGATACAAGCACGACAATTGGCCGTGTATGTATGCACGCTATATTCAGTTCTAGTGCTCGTGGCCATTGCATTACGCGCATTGATGCAGCATCGCTCAATAGAAACCTTGCTTACACACATTTTGCTCGGACCTATTGGAATCTGGCTGTGTTTTGCGTCGCTGAATACGCCACTAGTGTTGTTCGTTGCTGAGGCTGCGGCAACTGCATCCATTTTAGGATCATTTGATAATATTTTAGAACCAACAGGAATACAAATGCAAGATAATGACCAGAATGCAGCATCATTTGAAAAGGAGTGTCAGGAGGCTAAGACTCAAGCTGAAGCTGTGAGAAAATCAAATTTTGATACACGACGTGATGGCGAGCAAATTTCTCGTACAGACAGTGCCATGACATCATTTTTGAAAGCAACATCGATTGCCGCGCCCGATATATATGACGTTGAAGATCGCGAAAAGTTGCGCTCGGAAAAGGCCCAAAAGCAGTCAGCAACCAGGCGTTCACTTCAGTATTTTCTGGTGGTGCTTCGATTTCGTGTCATGTATTGCAAGCTCGCGCATTTATCCGACCGGCGATTTCTTCCTGTGCCACTTCGCTCATTCCGTCTTTTGGAGCGCTTGGGTAGCATCACAATGCTATGTTGCTTTGATGATGATATATTGTGTGAGCAAACGCCATCTGTGGAGGAAATCTTCCTTTTGAACGATAAACAAGGCAGCAATACAACAGTCCTAGACTTGCATGCTGAACGCAGTTGTGATACTGGTTTGCAATTTGAAGATCCTAAGTGGAAGCACCAATTGCCATCTTTAAAACCGATTGGATTTGCAATCATGGTCAACGATAACGAAAATGCTGTGCGACATTACGAAGATAGTATGCAATATCTTGTAAATGAAGCGCTTTGGTCAAGCGAGGACGATGGTGCTATAGACCCGTACCTGCGAAGCTGTATGCAGCGACTGTCAGCTCACATTAGGATGCTTCCATTCCCAAAACACTTGCTTAATCTTTCTCGTGAGATGGGCTTCTCGGTCGCTCATGATTTGACAATGTTCCAAAGACGACAGTCTATCCATATTATTTGCCCTCGACTGGCGCACTATGAACACTCCAGTGATCACCATGATCAGGGCCAGGAAGACACGCGGTATAGAGGAAATCTTAAGTCGCATCTTTATTCAACCGTTGTACTTGATAAGCGGTCGCATCGCCACCAATTGCTTTCTCGTGGCCACCCAACGGTTGTGTTGGCGCATTGTAGTGAGTACTGGGATGGCAAGTCAATATGCCCGCTTTCACATGACAAACAACGTGCGATACTCGAAATGTATAACCAGTGGCGTGTCGAGGATTTGGATTGTATTGCATTTTCCTACGTTCCAGTTCCGTCCAAGCTCAATAATCTTTTCAGGAGTTGTACTTCAAATGGCCATGGAAGCAATTCTTATAGTTCGCCCGATGAAATGTCGGACAAGAGTCAGCAAAGTAAGCTGGACGAACCCTTGCCGCCAGTGTATCTTGTTGACGATAGTGCGGCTGGCGAGCTCAATTCTCTTCAATTAGATGCTGCACGAAACAGAATGCCGCTTTCACGCAACAAGGGCGATGGCCAAGGTTTTGAGCAAGAGTGCATACGCACAAGTCAACTTGCAGGGCCGAATTCGCCACTTGTTTCCCCGCACTCGGTTCATGAAATGTCTTTGGACCGAGAGTGCTCGTTGGAGCCACGAAATACCAAGTCTACCGGAGCCCTTCCTAGTGGCCAGCTTACACCGCCCACCAAGCGGCATGGACATTTTACAATGAGCGACATTGAATCGTCGATGGGGCTGCATCCATCCGAAACGAACTCTGTTCAAAAGGATTCAATGCTATGGCGTATGCAAGATGATCAGATCTTTTTGGGTATGGTCGCAACTGGCGTTCAGCCAAAACAGTACACACCTGACTTTATCGAAGACTTGGACGCATGTGGTATTCGATTTGTGTATTTTTCTCCACGCAATATGCGTAGGAGCAAAATGCTTGCCGAGAAAATGGGGATTGAGACAGATTGGAACTGTGCTATATCGCTCCGCCCTCTAATAAGCGATGGCCCGGATCCCCATCGCATGACATCAAACTACTCAGACTGGGACGTTAAAGCTCGATTACCGCATGGCGTTGAAGCGATCAAACGGCATCTTGCCGAGGTGGACAATGTTCCGCTATTGGTGTCACTTTACACGGATAGCACACCTGACACGATAAGCGAGATGATATCGATTTTTCAGGAAAATCATGAAGTAGTCATGGGTGTTGGCTCATCGGTAAAGGAAAGTAATGCCCCACTATTTTCAAAAGCTGATTTAGCAATCGCATTGCAAGGTGGCGTACATGCATTCTTTGATAAACCGATTCCGCACGGAAAAGAACTTTCTGTGCTCTCTGATGAGGATATTCAGTTTAGTCACATTTTGAACACGTTAGCGTGTGCTTTTCGTTTGGATAGTTCGTCAGATGGTGTGAGCAATCAATGCTCAAAGTCTTCAGATGGTAACAAAAATACAGTGGGGGGAAATGCTAGCGTGGCTCACTTAATTGAGCTTATCAGGCTGGGACGACGTATGCTCACCAATTTTTATCAGTTGAACACCTTTATTTTTGTATCGCAACTTTTTATCGCCACGATCATCCTCGCTTCATATGCCATACCATTCCCACACGTTCCGCAGCTGACCTGTGCCTCCATTTTCTGGTTGCTTTGGGCTTTTGTGCCAGCCCTCAGTCTGTCAATGCTTGCATCCGAAAGTGAAAAAGGCATAATGAAAAAGACTCCACGCAAAAATGAAGAGTTGGACATGGAACAGGATCTGTCACGATTGATTGCATATTTTATCGGACGCCATGTGCCTTCGGTTTTGCTATCTCTTGCGGTCTTTGAGTGTTTATTTGGTTTCTCTTTGGAAGCGTCCAACTTTGCAGATCCGAATACTTTTGAAGCAAAAATTTTTTATGAATACCGATGGTTGGATTTTGTGCTAGACACTGATTTGGAAACCATGATGCCACGATCAGCCGCTGTTAAAGCAGCAGTGGATCGTGCTGAAGCTGGAATGTTGTTAGTAATCGGAATTTGCATTGTGACCTCGTCATGTGGATATTTGTACCGATGCGAAAGTATATTTAAGCAATCTCCACTTCGAAACATCATCTGGGTGACTACGGCATGTGCGCTGCTCTGCTTACAATTTATCTTCAGCATCCTCCGTGCTGGAATAATTGGTGCAGATGGTGTTACTCTGTGGCATTTTGTGAGCCAGTCAGTCCCTCAGTCTCTCTGGGCTTTGGTTTTTGGTGTGTGGCCACTTGTAATTTTAAGCGTTGACGAAGCGATTAAAATCCATGACAGAAGGCATTTTGTGCGCTACAACAAATTCCTTCGAATGCAGTTTGATACTCGCCTTGGTATGTGGAGCCCAAAGTAAGGTGATCACTTTGTAATATTGCGATCCGTATTCTGGAAATCTCCGAAAGCCCCTACAGGAACTGGTGCTGTTGACAATAGAAACAAATACTAATCACAGCTCACATTTGATACCTAAGTCAATAAACATGTTTGATTGAATAGAGATCCGATGAGGCATGTAGACGATGATTCCGGTAACAAATGAATATTTTGAACACTTAATTGCGATACTTCGATGCTGGACCGTGTCGCAGAAAACAAAACAGGTCTAAGAATCGCATCAATCATCCGGACCGCGTTTTCAAACAATGTTGCTTGGATTAGGCAACCCTTGAGCACTGTCGATGACTGATTCCGTACGAAGAAAGGATCACACAGAACACCGTGAGTGAGGCGCTAACTTTGCAATGGGATGTCCTGCTGTAGACAATGAAATTGAAATCCACAGGTGTTGTTTGCGCAGGTCAATCAAAAAGAACAAATTTATCAGATTTTCTTCTCGGCAATTTTGTCAACTAATGGTCCCATATTGCTCGCTCATTCTCTCCATATATAACTCTGCACATGATATTTAGTGATTCGTCCAAGAAAAATGTTGGTGAATTGAACTAAGCCCACGCAATTTACGTCAACAATGTCGGGGTATATCAAAAGTTGACAGCCTATTGTGAATTGGCTGCTTTTAATTATTCTGGTCTTGTCAGATTGTCCGACACAGTTGTTGATAAAATCCAACTTGTGAGCCTGGGCCTTCGTTTGATGCAAAGCAAGTAAGCTTGAGTGATATAGAAAAAATTTTGCCGAATTTTTGAAACTTGAGACGAGTTATGCCATTATAAATACTTCAACTATAAATTTGGTGTAGACCTGTGAAAGGATCAAGATATTTAATGCAGCATCTCCACCCAAGTGCTGGTTGATGCTATTGTTTGCAAGAGTTTTAGTAATGCAAGACTCAGGAGAGAAAAATATAAAATATATCACGCTCAACTATCGAATTATGACCAAGTGTTTTTCCAGAATATGTTTAAGAACATAATTCAAAGTGTAACTTTTTTATGTAAGTATATATTCAACTTCATGCCGGGTACTCTTAGAGAATGAGACTTAATGTTATGAGCGCAAGAAACCACAATTTCAAGCTGCATAACGTCATCAAATGCTTCACTTGAACAGAAAAGTAATAATAAGATATGAGCAGTCAACCCACGACGAAAGAAATCACAATTTTAAAATCTTTATTTGTACATCTATCATCACAAATTTGATGAGGGTTTCAAGCGATTTAAGAGAGCACTACTTCCGTAGACTGGGCATTGTCAGTAGATGAAAATTTTGTCTAGAGGCTTCAGTTGCTTTCCTAATAAAGACATCCGTGCCATTGAGCTCCATTTCTTCGATCACGCAATACTTGTCATTCATTGACTTCAGATAATTACGTCTCATATTACACTCAGTCGGTTGGACTGAGCCAAGGGCATCATCATAAAGTCGCTGGAGGGCGGCTCAGCCATCTTAAGGTTGGGTGAGCTGTGTCCACTGTGAGCACTATAGTCGTATGCCTGCCCGCCGTGGTACGAGTTATCCATACCATTCACCTCTTTATCCTCAGAAACACGAAGACCCACCGTGTACTTGAGCGCCATCAAGATGAGAAATGTCATTATTGTTGAGTAGCCAGCGGCCACACATTGTGAAATAAGCTGATGAATGAATTGCTGTCCATGACCGTGAAATACACCACCCTTAATCGCCGGATTAATGTCGGGTGTTGCAAATATACCTGTCAGCAGACCACCCATAAAACCGCTCAAGCCGTGAATACCAAAGGAATCAAGGGTGTCATCATAACGCAATACGTTTTTAAGATGAACGGCTCCAAAACCAGTAAGAGCACCAACAACACCGATAATGACTGCGGACCATGGGTAAACGTAGGCACAGCCAGGAGTGATAGCTCCGAGTCCAGCAACAGCTCCACTGACCGAACCGCATAGTTCCACCTTTTTGTGGACACTAAACTCAAGAGCAGACCAGGTCAAAAATCCAGCACACGCTGCCAAATGTGTATTCATAGCAGCGATCGCGGCAATCCCGTCAGCAGCACCATGGGATCCGGCATTAAATCCAAACCAGCCGAACCACAATAATGTAGCTCCAATCATCACAAGTGGAACATTGTGTGGTTTCACCGGCTCCCCGTGATTGAATCGTTTGCCCACAACTATTGCCGCTATAAGAGAGGCAAATCCACTCGAGACGTGAACGACTGCGCCACCGGCAACATCCAAGGCACCTAATTTGCCTTCCCATCCCATAGCGGTGATCTTCCAGTCGAGATCGAGTTCATGTGACCACATCCAACGCGCAAGTGGATCGTAAACAAGGGAAGTCCACAGTAAAATGAAAAGTAAATAGCTTCCGAACCTCATGCGGCCAATAATGCCACCACTAATCAACGCTGGTGTGATTGAAGCAAATTGCGTCTGAAAGAAGGCGAAGAGGAGATGAGGGATACGTGTACCATATGTACCACTGACATTAGCGCCAACGTTGGTGTATCCGGCCCACGAGAATACGCCTTCCGAGCAAAAACATGCAGAGTATCCAAAGGCAAAGAATTGAATCGACACCATTGCCATGCTCATAAATGACATCATCATGGTGTTGGATGCCATGTCATCACCAGCCAAACCGGCATAAAAAAAGGCAACACCTGGTGTCATAAGCATCACCATGGCACTCGATATGAGCATCCACGCAGTGTTACCCGAGTCGATGGGTACATCGTAAGCGCTGCTAGCTTTCTCACCTCGCGAAAAATAGTTGACACATTTGTTATTAGTACGATCAAGGTACTGAGAAACATCGCAGGTGATGATCGCCTTTGAGCTTGTTTGGGTTGAGATAACTAATACACCGAATGACAGAACTGCAGTTACAACGATGACTACGGACGTATGATGTAGTAGGAAACCAAGCATACTCGCAACAGCGTCGCAACGTAGCTATTCAAGATAGCAAACTGACGTGCTCTAGAGATGAAGTGACGTGATGAAGTTTTATTCTCCTATCTCTTCTGCAGGACAGCATATTCAAGAGGCGTTAGGCAAGAGACATTTGCACTTTTCATTCGTGTCGGTTCGCGAACCTGTAATATCATAGTGCGTTCAGTTAACAATCATTGGGCCGTTTTCGCAGTTGATAAATAACGAAAGCGATCCGAGGTCTCTTTCTTCATTCAGCCTAACGCCTAATGTTCGACACGGACTTTAAAGGTTTTGATATTACAATGTTTTTTCATTACAGATTAAATATGTGGCCTCACAAAAATGTCCGAAATTTTAGAAGATGAATCCGCTTTTGCAGACAGCCCAAAAGCCATTTTGTCTACCGAAGGATTTACATCAAGCAACCAGATTTCAGCCTTTTCTAGTAATAGACAACCCGAAGTCCCAAGACCACTTCATGCATTACCAGACCCAACCTACTTTTCGGTCACGGGAAGGCTTGATCCCGCAACTTCCGACTTGCCCATGCAGTATCGTAATCACTCCGCCAGAACACCGAATGGAATTTTGAGTGTCATGACTCCTATCTGGGACATTGCACTTGTCCCTCCTATACTTGGAATTTGTATATTATATTCGTATGTTTGCTGGATTGTAAGGTAGCAAGGCATTTTGCCGAAGAATTAATGTAATTAAACTTATTTCCCCACTGAACACGTTGAGCGCTGATCTGATTCGTTAGTTTTATTTGAATATGGCATCAATGTCTGAAACACCATTTAGTTAGGTAGTCATTTACATCTGCGAGCTCTCCTTGTTGTGTGAATTGCATAAACTAAATACGGGAGCTCAGCGAATAACTGTCCGAAGGGCAGCTGGAGCATGCACACGATCGACCTTGGAATCCATTGTTCGACCATTCTCCGGACTGTCGATTGCTTCAACCCCACGGCTGATTCTCTGTATTGACCAAAACCGAGTTGGTGACTGGATGACGAGGACCTATAGCACACTTAGTGAATTTTTGTAAAGAGGAGCATCATCATTTTTTGCGAAACACTATAATTTTCGTGATATTACCGGCTCCTTGAAGCGACATCATGGTCTAAGTGACAATAGCTTGCAATTCCTATTCGAGACCGATTATATGTAACGGCAGGTTTCTTGAAAACTTCAGTCAAGCTCAAGTCGATGTGACAGCGAAGCGATAGATCGGTGGATCGGTCATCGACGGAACCTGCAATGACGATATTAGCCAGATAAATCTGGCGTTGAACGATGTGAGAGCTAATTTAGGAAGCATTTTGGCAGCAGGGTTGCCGTTATTCTTTGCTTAGAGAAAGCTAAGCTAAGGTCACTGACCTTACGCCCAGTTGCCGAGGGCTTGGAATGTGCTTCCCGTAAAGCCGCGGACGTACTGTCCGGAGATGCACCCTGTGCAGAAGAAGAAGGACTTTAGCCGCGGGCGCCCTCGCCACCAGCTAGGCTTGGTATTTTTTGTGTCGTAGACACAGTGCTCATTGAGCGGATAAGGTTTGACGTTGCTCTCATGAGCGTAAAGGTGTCTCAGACACGTGAGCCTCGTATAAGGCGATCGTTAAATGTGTATTAAGGATATTCACATTTTTAATTTGGGAGAGTGTAACGGGGTGACACGAACCATTGAAAGAAAGGGCGGGTCGCACAAGATTGTACTACAGTACAAAGGTGCGTATGACACAGTTAATGTTATCACACAGTGGTGTGGCTACACCGTAACAAGAAGCTACCACGTGGCAGGATTGCCAGTAGTAATGCTTATCACTATATTAATTAGGTTTCGCTATATTAATTAGGTGTTACTACAATAATGAGGAAAACCTAGGTGTTAGATATTGATGGCTCTGCCACAACAACAACAACTGAATACAGTTTTGCTTTTGAAAGAAGTGTTTGATTGCCTTGGTAAGGGTTCATTACTTAGAAGTTACGGATTGTGATCCGCTACACTTGTACTGGTTCTTGGAAAGAACGTAAGGTCGGCGACCTTAGGTTAGCTTTCTCTAAGCAAAGAGAACAAAGTTCCTCTGCAATGTATATCTGTGCATACGGCCGGTGGGGCCTGAACAAATGCGTCACAGGGCGATTAAATTTTGCTGGTGTATTGACAGTTCTTGGGTCATCATCAGCCACTCCCAAAACACCCCGCTAGAGTGACTCACCGCTATCAGCGGGAGATCATTCGCTCTCATAAGAAATTGGTAATACCCATCGATTAATCCGTGTGCACTCCACTTTGTACATCCAACCATATTGTTCTCGGAAACATCCTATCTTGGGATTGGCGTGAAAACCGGAATGATGGCAGCGGTGAGCTTACTAAAAGCTTGAACGATACGCCACTTGCCGTTCTGCCCATTCGACACCCACGTTTTGTGGGATACTTACTCTCACACGCCATCCCTGCGCCGTGCTTCGCACGAAAGAAGGCGTCGATGACGTCACATTGCTCCTTGGGCAGGGGTCATTGGCGTCTTACGCGAAATTTGGTTCCCGGAACCAGATCGATCTGATGAGGCACACCTCGGTTCAAAGCTAGAGACGACGGCGGGTCTTTGATGACGACGTCTTAATTTTTTTACCATAGTATAGTACGGATTTGAGGGATCCTTCAGGCTCAAAGATCCACTTCGTGCGATCAGCACCCTCTTGGTGTCCTCCGATACAGTTTATCCAGAAGTGACAACGAGTTGATCTCCTCTTCCGGTCGTATAAAGACCACTTCGGCTAATTCACCTGCCTTCAAGGCACCATCGATATGTTCGAGGGGCATTTCGTCCAGCTTAAGAAGAGCATCCACCGGGGGAATAGCCTCGAGGGTGATGTTGTCGTCGTCCTCCCTCGTCATACCGTTGATGAGGGCGTATAGCTAAGCGCTATTGTCTACGGTAGCCACATCATGGGTCAACAGCATCCGGTATTGCTTCACGGAGGTTGTACGTCTCGGCGAAACCAGTGTGACCACGCCCCCAGTGCTAGCCCAATTTTCTGCTCCTCCGGGGCCCTGAGCAGGGCTCAGTGCATGAGGTGCCACTCCACGCGCATCACTGGGGCCTCGCCCTCGATGCCTCGGCCATTGGCCGACCATGCCACTCTTGGCATACAGTAACCGCTTTGATACTTGAGCAGCGCTCAGTGGGTTACGTGCTACTCCAAGCTCAGCCTGCGAATCATGCTCGAGGCTCCTGTCCGATACACCTTTGCTCACCAACTCGAGTACTCCGATCTCTAGCACTTTACTGTTTCGGTCCAGTGCCCGCTCCAAAAGATTTTTGCCTCCTAGCAGAGGTGGGTTCATGACTTACAAAGGCTCTATCAGAAGACGTGCGTGTGGCTCCCAAGGTCTTTGACCTTCAGTCAGTCCATGGCTCATGGTGTTCCAGCCATGCCATACCAAGGATGAGGTCATACCTTGAATCCAAGTCTAAGCCTGAGCAGCGTTCCTCGCTATCGAAGTCAAAAACTTGACACTGAGGTCCACAGGAATCTTCGGCATCGTGACACATGTTCTCGTCGCTATGCGAACAGTGACGATGTCAATCTACCGCGCCCTCAGCGTCCTTAGCATACAGCTGACTTCTTTCTATCGTGGAGCGTCGAGCATAATTGCCCGCCGCCCCGGAGTCGATAGGATCTTCCATGGCTTCATAAATCCCTCCCCGGTCGCTTTCACAACCAGCAAGCCCTGCTTGTATATACATTCCGTGTTCAAGAGCTTGGAGCTCTTCGGGGCTAGGCTCTGCTGAGAATCTGCCACTTTGCGTCTTTTTAGAACTCAGTTCTTCCCCAGTGGGGCGCCTCCCGCCTTCAGACTTTTGTCATCTCCCCGCGACAAACCAATCTAGGTAGAAGCGGGATGTCAGTTCCACGAACCTTGTAACATATGTACTATGTTATGCTCTATGTAACGTACGCAACATGTTATGTTCGATGTTACCGATTACATTGGTACATTGAAGTACAAAGCCGCACCCATCGTGTCCACAGATGTTCACCCATCTTGTGGATCGCACCTGGGTACCGTGTTGATCGTAAGCACATGTTGCTGAGTATCACCCAAATGCAGCCAATCACAATTCAGTCACCCATTACGTCAGAGCGCCTATCCAATGAAAAGCATCGGACCAGAAACACGATCAAACAATCCAACGATGACGACTACATATTTCATGTCCATTCATTTCAGTTAACCAAAACAATAAAGCTCACTTCTGAATCTGCCAAACACTACAATTGGTAGCACTTGCCTCCAAGCCCGGAGGAGCCGCCCAAGATCCAAGCCCAAGACTGCCAACACTCTTAATTCCTGTGACTTGTGAGCAGACTTGTTTCCTTCTTGGTTCTCGGGTGATTGGTCCAGACTACAGTCTACGAGTAAATCTCGCAGTGCC